AGGTCTTTCGCGTGGTTGTCTGGAAAAAAGACCACTTCAGAGACCCCTATGATTTTTCGACCCTACTGTGGACGGGTCTCTATTTCGCACGTTGGGGTCTCTTTATACAGTATAGGCTAGGCGACTGTATGTCCTTCCAAGGCACCGGTTGGTCCCACGCGTCGCGCGTCGCACGGCGTCTCGGGCGCACGAAGCAAGGTCTCGGAACATGGTCGAGAGCACCGGGCCCTTGTGGGGACGAATGAGTCGGGGGAGAGCTGACTGGGATGCCTAGGGATCCAAGGGACGAATCCCAAACTGAACCAAGTGGCTTCAAGTCCGGAACCAAGTGGCGCGTTTGGAGGCTTTGGACGCGGAGCGGCACTCAGAGCAGCAGAAGCTGACTTCCCGAGCCCCTCGCCAGAAAGAGCACCTGGGAGCTCACCTGCATTGGACGTTCCATGGCGCTGACTAATTAATTACCTGTAATAATGACATGAACAGATCCCCTTGGAAGATGGTGAAGCACTTGGGATTCGTACGTGCGTTGATGGTTCAGGGATTGGTGTCTCATGTGGCCATGTGGGCCTCAATGACAACCCGAAAACTCACAGAACGAATGGTGCAACCTGCTTGGAGCAGTGAGGTTTTGATGAGACAATTCAATAGTGCTGCTGTATTTCAACGTGGATCTCACACTTTTGTAGTATATATATATATAGATATTGATTTTAAAAGGGTCGCTACTGTGCCAGGCAACTTTGTGCCTTCGCACAATGGCCATGACATTTATGGTGTCGAGTCACATCCCAAGCCTTCGCCACTTTTGGGGCATCCATTCACCTCAGAATTTGACCTCAATTGTGGATCAGGTTTGTTTTTGGAGGGCCCTACACAAGCTTTTGTACCAACAAACCAAGTGGTCGGGCGGAAAAAGCTCAAAACTCAGCTCTTGAGTTTACATGTGATCATGTGCAGGGGTGTGATCATGCGCATGGGAGGTGTTTGCTTGGTATGACCATGTCTAGTCTGGACAATGGCACCTGTATGCACCTGTTTGAAGTCCAACATGTGTGTGAGAAAGGGCTGGTAACGGATGGCTGTGTTTTAAGGAGAGGGAGTGCCGACAAACATCCGACTTTTGTTGCTTGTATGTTCCTTGCCCGCATGAGGTGAGTCTTGGTGCTCAGCTCAGCTCCAAGATGAGCTGCTTGGTGAGTTATCAGATGCCATCGGTGTGGACCCGGAGAGTGGCCCAAGAACATGACAAACAACTCGATGGCATTCGTGAGCCACCAAGTAACCATCATGGTTGTGTACAGTACATTCGATGCTTGACATGTACAGTAACCATCGCCACCTCAAGTCGTGTTTTGGACGAAAGCGGAGTCTTTTTCTCGGGGAGGTTGAGCTCACGTTTGCTTGCTTTACCTGAGACACACGTGTGGGCAGGCTTCTATTTGAGTTGACCAACCACCTGGGAAATCGGTTTGGGGAAACTCGCCACTGAGTTGCTTGGTGACGAATCCTAGTTTGGTCAGAAACAGCCAAACGGTTCCCTGAAGCACCCAGACCGATGTCTCCCAACCTGTGCACGAGGCCTTTTTGAATGCAGACCAGGCAGGTCCAGATGAAATCACAGGTCTGATTGAGCACTCACCAATGGCCCATCAGATGGTTTTAGGGGTCGAGGAGTAGCGAGGATTTTGGAAGATGATGCTCAATCAATTCACCCGACGCCCCGACGGCCTTCCTCCACAGAACCCTCCAAGGTCACTTCAAGCGAGCGTTGGAACCTCTTTGTAGTCTTCTTCGAGGCGGCGGGACGCGTCTTCTTCGGCCGTCGTGGCGCTAGGGAGTGGTGTTTTGGAGAGGAGGTTTTCCCGGTCTCAGGTCTCTTCAGAGGCTCTTGGAGGGCCAAAGCACATCATTTATGGATGTATGGTGCTTCTTGCGGCATTCTGGACGTCAAAAGCAACGGTTCATGCACTGACATCAAGCACCGAGCGTGCTGCGCCTCAGGTGACGAGAAATCCGAGGTGCCCCACCCGACGGGGGCTGGACTTGCGGCAATGGCGGCTCACAACCATTTGTAACGTTTGAGATGGTTTGAGTCATGTGTGCCATGCCAGCTGGGTTTCGGGGTGCCTGCTTGTGTTTAATCCACATGCCAATTTGAAGGCACAAGAAATTGTTTACTCGATGCGACCACTTGTATCATGAGCAGTGTATGGTGGCCATCGGGCCGGGTGAGACACAGTCTAAATGTGCTTGAATGTGCTATCCTCATGCACCATGGACCTCATCCACGAGTTCAGCCCTGTCAATTGATTGGCTTCCTCACCACCAGAAAACGAGTCCATCCACCATGGACCATGAATCCAGCTATCCTCAAACGCACGCACCCTTGAGCGCAGATTTTCCCACCCACGACGCTCGCAGGTAAAGGACGCCAGCACTGCCGAGACAAACTCGCTCCTTGGCTTGGGCGAGACTGGTCTCGGCTAAGACCAAACCTCTTTGGGAACCCTGGTGCAGGTGGAAAGAAGGAGATACCGGCCCTTTGACTCAGTATATATTTAACTATATTTATATAAGAATAGTATATTATATACGTGTTTTCCTTCATGGACAGGTTTGTGTCCACTTCCATGTTAGTCAGTCGGAGTGTTATCTCATTTTGCTAGTAGTATACATGAAGATACATGAAGATAATAGATATTCCAAAAAAAAGAGGAGGACTTCAAAAAGGAGTCCTGTCATCGAGTTCTTTTGAGGGCCTCATGGATCTCATTGGATCTCATGCCACTTACAGGAGAAACGGGGACCAGTCGGCAGCAACAGAGCAGTCGCGGTGGTATGTAGTCAAGTTGGTGGCTGGTAGTAGTCAGTCTTCAAGTTGTATATATAATACTTGTCTCTCCTGACCCGAACAAACAAAGACTGCCAAAGTACTGTAGTACTGGATGGGAACACTCATGGGTGCCCAAACACTTTGAAGCACTGAACACTTAGACTTGCTAGCACCAAGAGGCGGGTTTCATATGTCCAAGTTGGTGACTCATGCCCTCCTTGTCCCCAAGGAAGCCTGCGGAGGAACCGCCAGCCAAAAGGCGGCGAGAGGCAGATCCGGACAGTGCATGTCGGTCGTTCTTGCGTTGTCTCGCCGCTGGAGACACTGGTAGTCTCAAGCGCTGGCTTCTTTGTGGATCTTTGTGGTACTTTCGCTTGCACAGTTGTGAAGGACGCTCCAGGTAAGGTGGTGGGTATGGTTGGCTTGGTTGAACTTTCATTGGCGTATTATAGGCAGTGGGATCATGTAGGACTTTGATTGAGACAGGTTGCGAAGAAGTTCCTGACGAAGTCACGTTTCTTCAAATCCATTAAGTGACAATAGTAGTGACAATTTTATACTGTTTTTACCGTGCATGGGCGACGCCCGCCACACCTGTCGTTTTCAGGAGCTGTGACGGCACGAAGAGCGGGTGGCGCCTGGACGTGACGCGGCTCGTGGCTGGAGCGATCCTGGACGCCTCCCGGTGGGTGAAGCAGTGATCAAGTGGTGCGTCAAAGAAGGATGGATATCAGATATCATTAACCTCATTAACCCTATAAGAATCATTAGGCCCTCGATCAGTGGACTAGGATGACGGCCAGGAGGGGCGAGAAAAGACTTCGGCGCGCGCCAGCGCGAGTTCACGGGACCGACCAGGTGGACTGATGTTCTTCTTCTTGATCTACAGTGGTTTCAGAGGTTCGATGGCACGTATACCCCATGATGTCCTTTAGGGGGTCCATGATGGCACCACCGACATTGGGGTCTGTGCCATTGGTCCTCTCAATCCACTATAACAGATATCATTAACACCGAAAAACAAGCAAAAACAGGTCGTACTCGTAGTTTCTCGCAAAGGCTCCCATATTCAACCTACCCAGATATGGGTCATTATACATGACTCTCCTGCTTATCTTGTGCAAAAGCCAATCACAGAATACCCCTTAAACATGCGCCCTTTGTTCTCAAATGATTAAATGTACCATTAGTACATATGAAGTCCTCCTTTAGCATACTCGCTATGCTGCACGACTTTTCATCAACCAAGATCGGGTTCTTTTGTACGTACCATAAAAGTCCAGTCTCAACATGTGCATGACCAGAAGTGTATGTACAAGTATTTGTAACAGAATTGCAGTTTGGTGGTGACGCCATGTTGTCATAGAACATCATAGAAGCAAATTTATTTGTGTATCTCGACTCTCTTTGTATGTATATAGATTCCGTCTGCGTCCTGGAGCACGGTAGGCAGAGCCCAAGTTTAGCCTGCCACTCCCAGGCTCCACATGTGCCGACGCACCGCGGTCTGAGTGTTCGGTCCGTCGGTGGGCAAGCGGAGAAGCCTTTGGAGTTCACGTGCGGAAAGGGTGCTAAGCGATCGCGGAGCTGCTTCGGAGGATCCCAAGATGGTGATGTTTGAAGATTTTTCATCCATTTGTTGGTATTCAAAGTTGAATCTGGTGATGGCAGGGACAGTCTGTACTCCAAAGCCGGCCGCGCCTGTGACACTGTGACATGGCTCGCCAGTGGAGCAAAAGAGGCACCAAACAGAACCCGGCACATCAGCCAGCCTTGAAGCGGAGGACTTCAGGGATGAGAAACTGCGAAACTTGTCTCAAAATCTGCGCAAACCCGAGATCAACCAAGTGCCTATGACATGTGACATGTGGTGAAACGATTCCGGAAACTCAAGAAAAGATCCCGGCAACAAAATATCTGATGGACCATGAATCTCGCACTCTCGCACCCGCTCCTGGCACCAGAATCGAACACGGTCTTCAGAACCAGCAGGATTTCACTCCACCAATGCATGGGTCCTCCCCTTCTGACACCACACCGGCCGGGGGGGGGGGGGGGAGACCCCGGAAACCCAAAGGAACGGACGTCCCGCCCGCCCCCCCCCCCCCCCCACGGCAGTCCGCGCTTCCTCCGCGGTGCCATCCTGGTGCAGCCGGTCGTCGTTCAGGCGGAGCGGCTCCGCAACGAGGCCGCCGAGTTGGAAGCCACGAGGCGGCCGCCGTCCCCGTCGACTCGACGGGTCAGTGGCATCGACCGGTGAGGACCGAGACCGAGAGGCGAGGTGGCCTCTGGAGGAGCTGCTGACCTTGGGGGCCCAAGATGGAGCTGCACCAAGGATGGATCAAGCTTTGGGTGCAGGCCTCCTCCCCCCCCAGTCCAAACACCAAGAAAAGACCGCACGGGCTTCGTGTGTCTCTTGTGACCATCGTCCACCTGCCTGGCCAAGCCGCGGGCGACCGCTTTTGCTCGTCGCGCAGGCGAGCCCTGCAGCGGGAGGTGGACGAGTACCGACGACAGATGGAGACCAGCAGTGTGGAAAGGGGTGCCTCAGAGGCGCAACGCACGAGTTGATCATGGATGGATCAGGGGACAAGAATTCCTTCTTCAAATTGGGTGAGGGGGTAGAGTTTCAGTCGATGGATTTGCGGCGCAACCCGCCGGTGCCGGGCGGAATTTTGGGACTTCAAGCGGCACATCAACCTCCAAGAGTCGCTCTGCTGATCATGCACCATCCAAAAACTGAAACACGGCACGTGTTTGGCTTAGTCGAATCTCGGCACCCCTCCGTCAGCAATACAGACTGAAATCCAAAGTGCAAGTCGGTGCAAGTTCCATGTGTGCTCAACGAACCAATTTGCACAGCCTCGTCATGCCAAGGCTGCTTCTCCCTGCTTCTTTCTTTGTGCTGCCAGACTCAACAATGTAACAATCTAGTCGCACATGCGATCCCAACCAGGTCTCCCAGCATGGGTTTATAAGGCATCAGTATGGAACAGTCTACAGGAAACTTATGGTTTTCACCCCCAAAGCCAGGTTTCAAGGGTTTCCTGTAGATGGTCCGAGACTGTTCGAGACCCCCACAATGCCGGTGACGAGGCTCCAGGCGCGCTCCGGATCCGGTCCAGGCGGAGCTGGCGAGGCTCGAGGCGTGTGCTGAGGCGCTGGCAGAGGAGAACCACCAGCTGCGGTCCAGGCGGGTGCTTCCTGCTGCATGAGAGGTTGGTGACGTGCGGAGTGTGGCTTCGACCTTGCAATGCGCCGCGAGAGTCAAAGCAAAGACTCCTGCTGCATGTGTTCCAAGATCCAGCAGGTGGACCAGGTGTTTTAGCCTGTTTTGGCCACCTTGGGATGGTGGATCGGTTCCTTGGATTGTGTTTACGACTGACCTCTAGCATCCTCTAGCAATTTCTTGTTGGAAGCGTGTGAGAGGACCAAAACCACTGAATCATGTGCATCTCCAACCATTCTGGTACTGGGATGAGCCGGAGGATGCTGATTCTGGTGTGTCGAGCTATACCAGAACCATCCAGAACCTTTATAGAATAAGTTCAGCAACCGGTAGTGGGGTCGCTGGGCATCCCATGTAATTCCTGCCCAGGATCGATACGCTGGCGCCGAAGGACGCGGAAGAGGCACCGGTTTTTCTTCGACCACGGCGTAGACGGGTTCTTCCGTGAGGGGAAGACGGCATTTGTGTGGCAAGGATAGGGAATCATGATATCATATTACTTATAAGCATGTTACTAACACACCAGGTAGAAGGACCCGATATGAAGTAGACAAGCGCCGCCAAAAGCAGTGTTCTTGCACAATTGACAATGTCACATGGAAAGGAACATGGCACAATGCAGTGTAGATTGCTATAGCGGCCCCTTTGCGGGACAGCACATGTTGACCCTGACTTCCTATGAGCAAAGACCCGGTGGCAACGGAGGTGGCAAAACCGGATATGAAAACGCTGATCCGGTGGAGGCCTATGCTGCGGCCATCATTTCGGCTGAGCAATGGGCCTGTGGCCCTGGCGGTGTGACAGACATTGAAAAGCCTGTTCGTGGAACCTCGAACCACGCCTGGCTTCGGTGTGTGCGGAGAGAGGTTCTAGGACGTGCCGAACTGGGTTGGAGGGAGCTGAGGAGCTGAGTCTGAGGGCATCATATCACACGCACATATATTATCATATATGATCATATGCTATGGTATACACATGTAACAATGCACATGCATACTACCAACACAGAAGCAAGGAGCCTCGGGAAGTTTCCAAACAAAGTTTGCTAAGTTAGCTTCTTGCATTTGTAGGGCCAGAGGTCTGCCAACCTCAACTGTGTTTGGATTTGTTGCATGGGGGTGGGGACAGGGGTCGATTCTCCAAGAAAGTCCATGCAACACATGTCGCCATGGATGACCAAGGTCCTCTATCACGCAGGGATGCCATTGGAAGGCACCAGCATGCCATATCTCTCGGGCGTCCAGAACCTCAGCCCGTACAGCCCGTGTGTCGTACTGTGAGTCGCGAGCGGCCCCAAGCCATGCACGTCCCATCATCCACGCCACGTGTGTGGTCTTTCAATGTCTTTCAGAGGGAGTCTATGTTTTTTTTCTTTTTTTCCCAGCTGCCTTGCCTTCTGGGGTTCCCCCGAGAGTCTTATGAAGCTGGGTCTCAGGGGTGATTATTCTTTCCATCGGGGCATTGGCGGTAGCACGTGGGGCATTTGGGGCCTTGTAGGCCACCCAAATCAAGCAAATTTACAGTTCAGCAAGCACTGGAGAACCTGATCTCTGAGGTCACCATCTCCTTTGCTGAGTTCTATGCGCCCTTGCTGTCTTTGGTTTTTGCCGCTGGGAGAAAGATTTCACAACTGGATGAACTGGATGGGTGGATTGATGTGGACTGACCTGGACGATTGGGTTTGGAGACCGTGCTTAACAGACGAAGGGTGTACTGCGTACCCGGATTCCTGTGATTTGTGTTGACTAGTCTCCCAGATCATGATTGCTAATGATGATATGGCATTTGATGACATGAAGAACACTAAATCTTGATGACTAAGATTCTGTATCAGTAATTTCGACGTGGAATGTTAGTTGTAAGGCTTGGTCCATGCCACGTGCCCTTCCAGATCTAACCCTTTAGCGTTCCCAAAGCGTTTGGTGCAGCGGCATTACAACCATTGGCGGAAAACGACTGAGGCCAGTCCCCCTCAACAGCTCCGGTGGGGAGCCTTGGGATGTCATGAATGATCAGCTGAGGTGATTCGGGATCCAACGATTGTGGGGCATGACGGTGGTTGGCCAAGCTTGCACGATACCGAAAACCCACTGAAGTGGAGTGTTGGATAGTGTTGGTGTGTTTAGGTTTGCGGCCCGGACACAAAACATGTTGCAACTTTCACGTGCTTTCTGTGGCCAGAAGGGAAGACACCTCACAGAGTTTGGCAAAGGGAGACACCACGAGTTCGTATGTTGTGCTTTTGGGTTTTGTTGGCTTCGCTCCGGTGAAAGTGCATGACTGACACTAGCACTACCACCAATCATTGTTGGAATGGAATGACTGACAAGACTGGGGCCAACATTCTGGAAGCTTGGCATCGAACTGTCTCTCTCTCTCTATCTCTCTTTCAGTGAGCCTACTGTTGTTTTCTTTTTGGGTTCCGCACTCCCCTTTGTGGGTCGGAAAATGGACGATTCTCACTCCTTGACTTAGGTCGATCGCCATAGCGCGGTGTAAAAGGAAGCACTCAAACGATTCCAAGCGGGTAAAACTGGTAGAGCATCCGCCGAAGTAGTGAAGTAGCTCACATGAAAACGTATCATGACATATCCATGGTAGGCCTGGGCCACGCTAGGAATCTAATCACTTTAATCGGATGGTTGCTTTCAGGGAACTGACTGGCCACGCAGCAGATCAGGTCGGCGGCTGCTGCGGTCGAGAGTTGGCTTGGCGCGTTTTGAAGTCTAAACACATGTGGGGAGCTGGATATTGTTCGGTCAGTTTGGCTGCTAAGATCAGATTTCACTAAAGCTGGCTGCCAGTTGTGGAGAGCGACACCATTTCCAGAACTGACCAGATCCGACCAGAAATTGTGGGTTTAGATTGGGTGATGCTGGAAATGTGACACATCACATGGCACATCATGGCATCATCGTTGCAGTCGTTGCACCACCCAGCAAGCACCTGGAAGCACCAACTGTTCGGATGGTGTGGTGGCTGCCAGATGGTGAATTGGCCAGGGCCAGCCTTCAATGCTTCAGGCAGGTCAGGTATTGGGATTTGCCTGGACGTGGCGTTTTGGATCCCTTGGCCCGCATCAAAAGGGCCGAAGAAGTGATGTCACATGAGTGACTCTTCAACAGCATATCTCCGCACTTAAAAACATCTTACAACTGTTCCACCCCAAGTTTCTGGCCACCAGAGTAGAGAATAGGATAACTCAAGTGGAAAGCCCACCATCGCTCAACCAAACTGAGACCATGCTTGCTCATACCCCATCCCATCATAGCCCAGTTGGGATCCCAATAGTCCACCAAGCTGGGGATCCCAACCGCGATCCTCGGGCCCGAAGCCGCGAAGCCCAAAGCCGCAGCACGTCGCAGCCTCGAGGCTTTGCGACGCGCAACGTGTGGGGCGTCTGACCTGGGAGGAGGCACGCATCGGAAGCGGTCGAGTGGCCAAGCGAGGAGCAAAGGGTCTGGGGGTGTGGATAGGACATGACAGGACGAAGATAGGACATGATACTGATAGGGGCGAGCACTCGCTTGTGCACTTGAAATTTACCTCGCTTGTGCACTTGAAATTTACCTCGCTTGTGCACTTGTACGATGACGATGACGAATGCTACTACTACTACTACTACTACTACCACTACCACTTCTAGTACCACTGCATCTTTCTACTGCTACAAATGCGATGTTGACGACGACCACTACTACTCTTCTACTCTTCCAGTACTACTACTACTACTACTGCTACTACTGCTACTACTGCTACTGCTACTGCTGCTGCTACTGCTGCTGCTGCTGCTGCTCCTGCTCCTGCTACTGCTACTGCTACTGCTACTGCTACTACTACTAGTACTACTACTACTACTACTACTACTACTACTACTAGTACTACTACTACTACTACTACTACTA